GTAAAATTGCAATTTATGCTGTATGTAGCATGTTACTCCTACTGCAAAATGTAAAGAAAACTTTAATTCAAATCTATTTTGTTCCTCCAAAGATCAATCTGAATGTGGTTTAGGAAATAAAGTCAACAAGAAATTGTAAAAATAGTAAATTTGCTGTGTGTGGCACATTACTTCTATTGTAATCTGAAAATATAAATTTTACGTTTTGGCCCTCCAAAGCCCTCCAGATGGGAATAGCATATAGCTAATGAGGTCTAAGAGAACTTGCAGAAATGTTATGTATACTGTGTCTGGCATATTACTTCTATTTTAATCTGAAAAATATGATATTTAAATTTTTTTGGTCTTCTAAAGGTATTTAAGGAAAGTGCTTTAGCCAAAGAGGGTTACAAGAAATTGCAGAAATACACATGTTGTCTGTAGCCTATAAATTCTGTTTTAATCAGAAATATACAAACTTTATTTTTTATCTCCAAAGCTAAATTGGGATGTGATTTAAGGCAATGAAGCCTGCAAGAAATTGTAGAACTACTATATAATGTATGTTGTGTGTAGCATATTATTTCTCTATTAATCTGAAATATGTAAACTTTATTTATTTATTTTTGTATTTATTTTTACCTCCAAAGCTACAAGGAGATATGGATGAGGCCATAAGGCCAGCAAGGAATTGTAGCAATACTATGTATGTTGTGTGTAGCACATTTCTTCTATTTCAATCAGAAAGATTAATACATTTTATTTTTTGTTGGACCTCTGAAGCTATTTGGGGATGTGTACTGTATGCAGCATATTATTTTTGTTTAAATCAGAAAAAATATCAACTCTAATTTGTTTTTGACCATCAAAACTAAATTACAATGTGTTTTAGGCAATGAGGCCTACATGTAATTGTTGAAATCCTTTGCATGCTTTCTGTGGCATTGCAGTTCTGTTTTATTGAGAACAATATGAACTTTAATTTGTTTTTTTGACCTGAAAAATTTAATGGAGATGTGGGTAAAATTACAGAAATACTATGTATGCTGTGTGCACCATATTAGCTCTATTTTAATGAGAAAAACAAGAACTTTATTTATTTTTTTGTCCTCCAAAGCTAAATGGGGAAGTGGTCAAGCAAATGAAGCCTACCAGAAAGTGTAGAAATAATACCCATGCAATGTGAACATTATTCCTTCCATTTTATACTTATTACAGGTATTTATATAGTGCTGACAATTTACGCAGCACTTTACATAGTTGCACACATCAGTCCCTACCCTCAAGGAGCTTACAATCTAAGGTCCCTATCTCACATGGATACATAGAGGGCCAACTTAGAGAGAAGCCAATTAACCTACCAGCATGTCTTTGGAGTGTGGGAGGAAACTGGGGTCAGGGCCGGATTTGCTCTCCCTGCCGCCCCAAGGCCAGGTTCCGCAATGCACCCCCTCCCCGCCAACCAAACCTCCCACCCAAATCAACGGAGAATGGCAACCGGATGGCAGGGGGCAGCAGTGTTAGTTCTATTTTTTTTTTGGTTTCTTTTTTTCTTACTTTTTTATCACTTTTTTTAATTTATTTTTTTCCTTTTTTTAGCTTGTCGTTTTACTTTTTAATTTTTTTTTATAATTTTCTATCTTATTATTGTTTATTTATTTTTTTAATAGGCAGCACACATTTTACAAGTGATTGCGGCGACATCGCCGCAATCACTTGTTAACGAGCGAGTGGATTCCCCACATTTAGTCCTGCCTTCCCAAAGCAGGACTAAATGTAGAAAGCAACTTACCGCCCAGAACTGTATGTTCCGGCCGTCGGGGGACTCCACACCGCTGCCGCCCCGAGGCCTGGCCTCGGGGGCCCTGTGGGGAATCTGGAGCAAACTGACGCAAGCACAGGGAGAACATGCAAACTCACTGCAGATAGTGACCCTGGCTGGGATTTGGCAGCTGCCCTGCACGTATGACCTGCAAATATGCACAATACACATTATTGTGCATATTTGACCTGAACAGCTGCATGTGTTGTCTCAATTTTAAAATGCTGTCTATTGCTGTCTTTTAGTCTGTACAATAATAGCTTTTAAGGAATAATGTCAGGGTGAAGAAAAATTATACATGCAAATTATGTGATGCCAAAATGCTGTGTTGCTGACACTGACTGTGAGAAATGTACCGCTCCATTACACGACATACAGCTTACCGTAAATGCATTTTCCAAGCATGTAATTTAAGGATTGGTGTTTTTCCCACGTTGCCCTGTAAGTTGCAGAACAATATTTCTTACATTAGTACATGTCCCCCGTGGCAGTGCCCAACAACCTAAGGTCTTTTGTTTCACAAATCCTCGTCTATTAGCTGTGAAAGTAGCCAGAACTCATTTTCAGATTCTAACCACCTTTGTATTTTTCTCTTCTCCACGTCGGCCCCAATACAGCATTCCCTTCAAGGAGTGACACAGCCAATCTGCCCATTGGACACCCGTCCATCATTACCACCAGACTCCTTGGCAACAACACCAGGAGATTCCCACCGCTGAGACTATTTTACTCTATCGCATGTGCCAGACACCGCCATTTCCATTTCACAGTACATTCAACTTTGATTGACTGTTTTGTTATTTACCTGTTGTTTCCCGTCCACACTTTTGTGCCAGTTAGTGGCACTCCGTCTCTTTTTTCTTTCTTGTTCACCACCACACAATTTAGACACCTCGGTCTACTGCCACTAGGAGCTGCACACTGACCTCAACACCCCTTCCCCCAAGGAGTGCCCTAACCAATTGGACTTCATTTTTTGTAACTGTGGAGTTGTCCTTTAAGCCACTGTGGTGCATTTGTAATTAATATACTGATATTATATATTATGTTGACATTTGTATCAATAAAATTATTATCCCATACAACAGCACCATTATATCACTTGGTAGACACAAAACTAAAGAGGAACTTGTTGCCCCTTTTACCTTTAGTGACCTTCTAATCATTTTCAATTTGCTGACTGGCAAATTCCAAATACACAGGGGAAAAAAGGGGTGATAGCGGCATATAATACAGCATATAACCCCCCAACCCCATGAGGCGTATTATTTTCATTGACACCCGCCTGAGAATACTACCCCGCACCACTCTTTTTTTACAATTTTTGCAACTCTCACATATGAAAGTGTTAAAGGTGTTTCTTCAGATTTCTATTTCATAAATGCTTTTTTCTTCCCGTCTATTTTTTTAACACTAAAAGTACACGTCATTAATTTTTACTTGTTGCCCAAAGGGATAAACTGTGCAATATATTTACCCAAAGCTGTTTTGAAATCCTTCTGTTGATGTTATTTGTCCATACTTTCTACCAGTCAGTGTGTGAAAGTGAGGACCGCAGAATCAGGAAGTTGATCTTTATAAAATGATGCCTTATAAGCCTGTGCGTGTTGTTTTTATTAGCTTAGAATAAAGCTGAAATCCAGACACAAAAACACAAAGTGCAAGAGTTGTTTAATGCTGGATTACTACACAGATTTGGTGGAAATACACAAAGGACACTAAGAGAAATGGGAATACACATGGCTCTTGTATTTATATGTATTATATATTTATGTTTACCCCAATATCAACTTTAAAGCACTTCAGGCAGTAAAGAAAAAAAAGTTAAACTAACAACATGCATGAAGCGCAGGAATTTAGAGGTGCTTGCATGTACCTTCAGCAGTCTTTAGGTGAGCCCCATGGTAGTGTTGAAAACTGGTCCACCACCAACTGCACCTTCAAGTTGGGCAATGGGTCAAACCATCATGGTGGAGCTCCAGGGAAAGAGCTGAAATACAGGTGAATTACATGAATGTAAACTGATTTGCCAACCAAGGAATTCAGAATTCTCTATGACCAGAGTTGATTAGGGCCATATCACACGAGTGATACTGTTAAGGATCTCCATATAACTTGCCAAGGTTTCATTATGCAGTGTCAAGCAGTGAATACTCACCTGTGTCCATGTGTTGCTCCCTTGCTGGCTTAATGAACAAGATATCGCTCCCTCACTGGTGACTGATATTTTGCAGAATGTACTTCGGCAAGGATGAAACATTTTGCTTATCTGGCCAGCAAAGGAACGTCACATGGAACCAGCTGTGTCATGGGTGGCATTAGCCTTACACACCTTTGCCACACTGCACAGCCAAGAAGATCGTTCTTCTATTTCTGGTCCAGGTTTATAGATTCCTATGTCATCTCCCGGCTCTTTACAGGTGATGAAGCTAGACATTGTACAATGAGCTGGTAGAATATGAAAGATCTCAAGGAATCTGCTAAGCTGAACCAAAAAATAAGGCATTCACCTGGTTTCGATGTCTGTCAGGGTTATATATGTTATAAGACTGAATAAGTAGTACTAAAAATCCTTTACCAGCTGAAACAGTAAGCATATATGTATTGAACCGGTGCAGGTAGTGGCTTTTTACCTCGAATTATACTTTAACATCATTCTAGACCAACATGACTTTTGTCCAGATATTTGACCCCAGCACAATATTTGAATGCTCGCAATGTATAATCTATTTAGCTCTATGACTTGTTCTTTGTAGTTGGAAGACAGATCTACCAAAATCCAGTGCTCATGGTGTACCCACAGACTTCAGAACTGCGCACAGGTTATTTATCTAACAAGGATAACAATTAGACTTCCTCATAGCATCTTGTAAAACAATAACTTAAAGCTGGAAATTACGTAAATGCTGGATAAATAAAGGAAAGTTCCCAGATACAAAACATTCTGTTGTGAAACAATTAAGAGCATCACCAAAGAATAATATTAATCTTAGACATCACAAGCGGCAATACTTTTAAGAGAGAGGATGGTTCTGGGATTGAAAAAAAAATTGTGCTTTCTTCTTTGGGGGGTCTAGATGTAAAAAAAATACAAACATCTATCACAGTTGTCTTATATAGGGGTCTACAGCAGTACCAAATGCATGGGAGTGTTTTATACAGGTGTCTACAACACCATATGGATAGGAGTGTTTCATACAAGCGTCTACAACACCATATGAATAGGAGTGTTTCATACAAGCGTCTACAACACCATATGGATAGAAGTGTTTCATACAGGTGTCTACAACACCATATGGATAGAAGTGTTTCATACAGGCATCTACAACACCATACGGATAGGAGTGTTTCATACAGGCGTCTACAACACCATATGGATAAGAGTGTTTCATACAAGCGTCTACAACACCATATGGATAGGTGTGTTTTATACAGGCGTCTACAACACCATATGGATAGAAGTGTTTCATACAGGCGTCTACAACACCATGTGGATAGAAGTGTTTCATAAAGGCGTCTACAACACCATATGGATAAGAGTGTTTCATACAGGCGTCTACAAAACCATACCGATAGGAGTGTTTCATATAGGTGTCTACAACACCATATGGATAGAAGTGTTTCATACAGCTGTCTACAACACCATATGGATAGGATTGCTTCATACAGGTGTCTACAATACCATATGCAGGGCTCAAAATTTCAGGTCCTGAGCTACTAGCCAGGCCTTCAAAGTTACTCGCCACCAGTTGCCCTGCATAACACAAACAAACACACACAGGGCACAACGCGCACACAGCACAACACACATACAGCCACATCACAATGCACAGGGCATTACACATACAGCCACAGCACAACGCACAGAACATTACACATACACATTTCATCTGAAATTAATTTTTAGTCTTCGCACATGTCTAATGAAGCACTCAGTACAGCGGCCTCCCATTCATTCAGACACTGATAGTAAAATATTTACTATCAATAGTTTCTGAATGGGGAGGAGCCTCTGTACTGAGTGCTTCCCTCCAGATGAGGAAATCTTGAATGAACAGGCTGTGATGTAAATCACAGCACTCTCCCCCTCACCGCTCCGCTATCCTGACAGCAGGCAGCGCTCCCTTCTGCAACCCCCCCCAGGACGGACGCACGAGGGAGCGCTGTCATCATGTCGGTGAGGAGGAGAGAAGCTGCCCTGAGGAGGTCCAGGAGTCCCTCCAGGAGTTGAGTGCCTGACTCAATGGCTTCATTTCCACTCGCCCCCACGCAATTTTAACTCGCAAATCGCAAGGGGGGCGAGTGGAAATTTTGAGCCCTGCCATATGGATAGGAGTGTTTCATACAAGTGTCTACTGCACCATATGGCCAAGAGTATTTCATATAGAGCTTTACTTCACCATATGGATAAAATTGATTCATAAGCAATTCTGCACCATATGAACCGGAGAATGCTACTCCTGTACACACAAGTGTTCGATGTAGAGGTTTACAGTACCATAGACAGTGCACATGGCTGGGCAACCAATGTACAAGGGTACAACCTGTCCAGGAGGGACAGGGTTGGTAGAAGGTGGCGAGGGGTATGCATGTACGTAAAAAACAATCTAACTGTGCACATACGAGATGACCTCATGACCAAGAGATGCAATGGTGTAGAGTTCATGTGGCTGGAACTAGATAAGACTGATGCTAGTTGTAAACTAATTGTGGGTGTGTGTTATAAACTACCGAACATAGGGGAAGAGGAGGAGGCTCACCTACATTCCCAAATAGAAATCGCTAGTAAGCAGGGAAATGTAGTTATAATAGGTGACTTTAATTATCCGGACATTGATTAGTCAAATGGAACCTCTCATTCGATAAAGGCTGGCTGTTTTCTGAACCTGTTGCGGGACAATTTCATGGATCAGATGGTTGATGTCTCAACCAGGAAGAATGCTATACTAGATTTATTAATTACCAATAATGCGGACTTAATTGCAGACACAGCGATTAGGGATACATTTGGTAATGAGAGTGGCGTGCCCCAGGGTTCTGTGCTAGGCCACATACTGTTTAACCTGTTTTTTATCGACATGTGCAATTCGTTTAGTTACGAATCGAAATTCGTACGAATTTTCCTGAAATTCGTAAATTCGGAAGCATCCGAAATCCGAATTGCAGTTTCCGAATTATATCCGAAATACAAAATTCCGTTAACGAATTTCGGATCCGAATTTCTTTGAAACGGGAACTAATATTACCCCTGTAAATGAGGTTGAACAACATGACAAGATTTTTTTTTTAATCCGAAATACGGATCCGCTGCTGATTACAAATCACAATACAGGCAGGAAATACGAAATTCCGTTAACGGAATTTCGTTCCATTACGAACATTCATTATGATGAAGTTAAAAAGCAAAATACATTTGTTAATATTGGAGTTGATGAGTTTCTTTTTTTAATACGAAATTCGGATCCGATATCCGTTAACGGAATTCGTATTTCGTTTGGTTGACCAATCAAGTCTAGTTTTTTAATGATATCGGAGAGGGTGTTAATAGCCATGTTTCTGTGTTTGCTGATGATACTAAAATTGGGAGGGTAATAGACACGGACTAAGATATTAGAACATTACAGGAGGACCTGGATAAAATAGGGGAGTGGGCAACTATATGGCAGATGAGAAGTTTAATGTTGAAAACTGTAAAGTAATGCATTTTGGGGTTAAAAACAGGCAAGCGGAATACACATTAATGGGAACTTCACTAGGGAAGTCAGAGATGGAAAAAGATTTGGGAGTCATTGTAGACCACATATTGAACAATAGCTTGCAATGGCAGGCTGCAGCAAACAAAGCGAGCAGAGTCCTGTCTTGTATTAAAAAGGGAATGTACTGTAGAGACAAAGCAATAATTTTGCCACTTTATAGATCACTGGTTCAGCCTCATCTGGAGTATGCGGTCCAGTTTTGGTCACCAATCCACAGAAAAGATGTCCTTGAGCTGGAGAGAATCCATCGGAAGGGCAACCAAACTAATTAAGGGGATGGAGGACCAAAGCTATGAGACAAGGTTACTACGTTTAAACTTGTTCAAGCTAGAAGTGAGGAGATTAGGAGGGGACATGATTATGATGTACAAAATGTTCAGTGCTAATGGCAACATCAGCAATTAACTATTTACTGTAAACTCCATAACTGTAAGGGTTTTCCGCGGCGCCAGGCGGCGAGTGTGCGTTCCAGGGTGGAACGCACCAGGAAGAGCATAACTGCAGTCACGCCTCCTCACTATGACGCCGGCCGATGCGTTCCACCCTGGAACGCGGAAGCGGCACTACGCTTTCCGGCCGTTTCCCGCGCCCACGGGCTATTTAAACATCCTTGAAAGGTTAGCAAGGCGTTCCACTATTGAGGATCGAACGCCCTGCTAACCATCATGCAGGACCAATTTAGCCAGCCCTACGGAAGCTCCTTGGATCCAGGACATCCTTTCTTCAGCCACAGCCTGACAGGAGGACCTACACTAGCCGCCTCTCTGGGAGCTACACTCAGCAAAACTGCAAGTACTCTGCACCTGTAACTGCAGCCCATATGCTAATGCATTGCTCCTGCTGATGTTACAACTGTGAACCCCATTGACTTTAATCATTGTTGCAGTATTCTGTGTCGTATCACCCTGTGCATGTCCTGGACTGATCAAGGCTGGCTGTTTTCTGAACCTGTTGCGGGACAATTTCATGGATCAGATGGTTGATGTCTCAACCAGGAAGAATGCTATACTAGATTTATTAATTACCAATAATGCGGACTTAATTGCAGACACAGCGATTAGGGATACATTTGGTAATGAGAGTGGCGTGCCCCAGGGTTCTGTGCTAGGCCACATACTGTTTAACCTGTTTTTTATCTTAAATGTTGTGGTAAAACCCCAGCCTGTACCCTTTGTAGGTAGCAAATTTGGGCCTAGGCTTGCTCATTAAAATTGTCCTGCTGCTGGTCAATTATACACTACGGTATCATCTGTGGTCTCTTATTTCTTGTAGTAAAACACCTGCCTCTACTCTTTTATCTATAGTGCATTTGGCCTATTATCTATGATTGAAACTGTCTTGCTAATGGACACTCTTGAGCCAGGTTTTCTCTATAGTATATTAATTCTTGGAGTTAAGACCCAGTCTGTGCTCTTATCTTTATTATGTAAATTTGACCCACGTCTTGTCCTGCTCCTGGCTATTTTTACATTGCTGTGTCATCTGGGATCTATTAATTCTTCTTGTACATTCTGTTCAATTATCCCTCTGTAAAAATGTCCTGCTGCTGGCCAATTTTAAACTGCTGTATCATCAGGATGAGCATTTCTGTCATAGAACTCGGCCAGTGGAAGGACTGTTTTGCATCATGGAGAAAAGGAACAGCCACACTGAACTAGTGGACAGTTTTTATCTCCTGGTGGAGGCTGGTCTAGTCTGGTCTGGTCTGCTGAAACTAGCTCATAAAAGCCTTTTTTTTTTTTTAAATTGGAATGAATTAGATTGAGCTGCTGCTGTTTGCAAACCAAGCTGATTGTAAAAAGAAAAATACCAATTCCACAGCCAGATATGTGCTCCCAGTTTACGCTGGCACTGAGGCTGTCTGTGAAAAGCATACAGCTTTAGGGAAAACCTCATGCATGTTTTTGTGTGTTTTCAACATTGCCCTCAAAGGTGCATGAAAACAACCCTCTCCCCGATGTTCAGTATTTATGCTTGCATTGGTTTCCCATGGTGCTGCCCAGCTTCATTTTTTTATTACGGTCTTTATTAAGGTCTTAACCATAAAAATGGACAGAATTTACCAAGAAGAGTGCCCCTTTCCCCTGTACCCCTGTGACCATAGCCCGACTGCCATTACTGGCGCACGGCGTCCCTCAGCCGCGTGTAGCCCCCCCCCCTTTTCTCCGTTCCTGACCGACGCGGCTCGGCCCGGCCAGTCGAGTACGTGGGCGGCCATACGGGTACACATCCATTCTGGACCAGCCTCTCACACCACCGGAGACATCCCTTTGAGCCAGGATCTGACCAAGGAGATGATCGCACAGACAACAGGGGAGCTCCTGATCGTAAGTCCCTTTTGCTTGCTGTGACACTGCCATATACACCCAGACTCCACACTCTAAGATCTATTAGCGCTCCTGACACTGTCCTTATTACATAGATCCACTGGGCTCCTCGCCAGATTAAACCCACATATACAACTTTTGGTAGTTGCGCTCCTGAGTTTTTGCTTTTGATGTGTTGTCACCCATAGACTTTCATAGGATTTGTTACATTTTGAACACGATTCATTGCGCTCTTGGTGAATCAAACCCAGGCAAAAATGCCTATCACTATCAATCAGGGCTCTATAGCAGGAATGTGCAGTGAGGTCAGTGCCAGGTGGGGCACCCCCCGGCCCGTCCCTGCCCCATCCCAGTCCCACCAGACACCAAGCTATGTGTGGCGGAGGGAGGCAGGAGACAGGGAGGAGCCTCTCTGTCTTTCACTTGCTTGTCACTGATGAGGCGACTAGATGGATGCTGCCAGTGTTTTTTTTCTTCTTCTTTTTGATTGTACGGCTTGGACCAAAGACGCTTTGCCATTGTTCCAAACCATCGACAGATCGTACGCCTCTGAATCCAAGTAGCTCTGACCTTACACTGTTAGGTTCCACACAGCAGCGGGGAAGCCCACTGCTTTGTAACCTAATATAGCTGTCAAAAGCAAGATGAAGTGCCACTCCATGACAGGTTAAACAGAGAGGAGGCTTTCCCCACTGTGTAACCTGTTAGAAGCCGGTGTGAATAGAGGTCAAGCTGTCAGCTTCATACTTAAAGAGCCTCACCTGCCTTCTTAGACCGCATGTCCCTGCTCTATAGCCTTGCATTGTTATGTCAGTCAGGGCTGTAGCTACCATGGGGCGAGTGAGGCACTCGCCTCAGGCGCAGCTGAGGGGGGGTGTAGCCAGGGCCGGCCTGGCTGCACCCCCTTGCCCCTGTTGCCATGGTGAGCACAGGGCGCCGTTGGCAACAGGGGCGCCATGCAGCCAACACAGCTGCAGCTCGGCAGAGAGAAGAGGAGAGGCACAGGCTCCAGCTTCTCCTTGGGTCCCCGCTGCTCTCCCCGCCTGTATGGACAGAGGTCTGTGTCCTCAATCTCTTTTTCTATTTCAAAAGAGAAATGTCAGGGGTCTGTTTAGACCCCTGATATTTCCACGAAGCCTCCCCCAACAGTTAAAAAAAACAAAAATACCCCCCCGCCCCTCCCCCCACACACACACACCCACACTCATGCACACATATTATTAGACATGTGCAGAGGACAAAATGAATGGAAACTAAAAATGTTTTTATTAGTTTCATCAAACAAAACAAAAAATGTTATGCTATTTTGGATTCTGCGCATGCGTGCTGCCACCCTGGAGGTGGGGAGCATTATGTCACCTGACGCCGTACGTGCGCAGCGATGGGTGACATAATACATCTGTTGGTGGGCACAATTTTCTGTTCTTGCCTCGGCGGCAAAAGAAGCTAGCTACGGCTCTGATGTCAGTCATCAGTATGCGTCTGCTGTTTTCTTGCCCAGTCAGTAGGTCGGGATGAGAATATGGTACATGGTATGGTAATAAGGTATCAACCTTGGGAGAATCAAAAGACTGATAGAACACAATAAATGTTTCAAGGCTGAACGTTACCCAGATGGGGTTGCAGGAGCTCTTGCTATAATGTGCACATTATGACAGAGCTAACTCTGAGTTTACCCTTCTCCAGGGCTGAAAGCTTTGCAATCTCCGTCACTTCTCTGTTGCCACCACCACCATCTTTTTTGCCGCTTTTCATACAGACATCTCTGTTTGGCCATTGGACAACCACTGATGACTGCAAACTGCAAGTAAAGCAGTTTAAAATGTAAGCATTTCAGCTATGTATTTAGTGGTATGCCCGTAGCGTTGCTTTTACCTCCAGGCACAATGTAGAATTGTGTGAGCTCAAGAGGAAGCACAGAAGCAGGTGCAGAATTTGGGATCCAAACCAAGAACTCAAATGCTGAAAAAGTAAGTGTGCTAACCACATAAATTATCCTTTAATCTTAAACACAAACATCGATCATGTTTATGTCTCCCCACAAATTAGACAATAATACCATCAAAACCATACTCATCCAATCCTTAACAGCAGACAAAGGAATCTTTAACAATGCAACATTGTGACTGTAACAACCGTAATTAATCAAATAGAACCTGTCCAGGAATAATAAGAGAGATTCTGTCACTGTGCCAAATTATGGCAAAAAGACAAGTTCTCTTTGAAGGACAACCCTCCACCAACACATTTTTATTATTATTATTATTATTATTATATAACGCCAACAGTTTGCGTGGCACTTTACAAACTAAAGGGAAACAGTATAGTTACAATGCAATGCAAAAGTAAAAAGGGTTAGGAGGGCCCTACTCACGAGAGCTTACAGGAAGATGCAAGTGATAGAAAAGATAGTAACTGCACGGGATAATTTGATGGTGAAAGTAAAAGTTCAGTTGTTAGACTTCCCTGAATAGAAGAGTGTTCAAGGATGGCAGAAAGGTAGACAGAGTAGAAGATAGCTGGAGAAATTGGGATATGGACTTCTAGAGGTGGGGAGAAACTCTTGAGAAGTCCTGGAGCCAAGCAAGAGGGGAAGTGACAAGGGTGCTAGACAGCAGGAGGTCTAACAGCAGGGGGTCCATGGAAGAGTGAAGAAGGTGGTTTGGGCAATATTTTGAGATGAGGTTGGTGGTGTAGCTCGAGGCAGAGTTGTGGTTGGCTTCGTATGTTGTTACCAACTGCACAGTTGGTAAGGTAGATGAGTCTGGCAGCAACTTTCATTATAGACTGATGGGGGGATAGCCTGTATAGAAGTAGGCCAAGAGGAGGGAGTTGCAATAGTCAAGGCATGAGATAACAAAGGAGTGAATAAGTATCTTGGTGGTATCATAGGTTAACAAGGGGTGTATTTTGCTCTTTTAGATTGTAAGCCCTCAGGGGCAGGGCCCTCCTTACCATCTTGTCTTGAATTGTATTGTGATTGTAATGTCTGCCTTATATAGTAAAGCGCTGCGCAAACTGTTGGCGCTATATAAATACTATGTAATAATAATTTTGCACGTTACGGTGGTAAAGGCTACAAAATGTGGACAGTGATTGCATGTGAGGCCTGAAGAAGAGGTCAGAGTCCAGGATTATACCTATCACCCTGACATGAGAGGAGGTAATGATAATTGTGCTACAGATCTTGGTGGAAAAGTCAGGGGAAGGGGCATGATGCCCTGACTTTGCAGCTTCACCATGCTATGTTCATTTGTCAAATAAATGTATTCCAACCTCAAAACTATGTCAGAGGACACTGCTGGAAACATAAAGTATAGACAAATTTTATTTAAAATCCTTTTCTTGGAACCCATTGAGGGACACAGAAAGTCTTACACATTTGGGTTATATGGCGGCCAACAGGAGGATGGACACCGGCAAACAAAAAAACTGTAGGCCAGTCAAGGTTATAACCCCTCCTACTACCAACATGCCTTAGTTATGTAGTAAAGCAGTACCAAGAGCATGACTACAAACATGTAGGGCAGGACCTGTCAGTGGCGTAGGGTGGGTTGTCAGCGCCTGGGACAAGGCAAGTGGGTAGAATGTGGTGGTATGAGTATTACCCACCACAGGAGGGAGCGGCAAAGCATTGGCCTGCTGTATGCTAGGAGCTGTAGTCCAAGGAGGCAACCGGCAGTTACCGGAGCTGGGCCCTCTTCTTCCTTTCTGGGCCCCACCCCCCCAAGTGGCAGAATGCCAGGGCCCGGTTGCACATGCTACTGCGTCCCTTGAAACTTGGTAATTCTGCCAGTGGTACAGATGAGCGGGGCATACACCACTCATATGTATATATGCAGGAGGTGGCAGGCAGACACACAGCTCTGAATGGCCCTGCCTGCCAGGGCCGCTGTTAGAAATCATAGAGCCCCGTACAGCCCACCTGACAGGCCTCCCTCCTCCTCCTGGCATTATTGCTCACTTTACTGCAATATGTGAAAATGAGCAATACATTCATTGTTTGTTAATAAATAACAAATATGTGTACATTTTATATTGCGCCTTTTTTTGAAATGGTAAAAAAATGAATGCAAAACTGTAAAAAGCAACTTATTGTAAAAATCTATGTTGTGGTAACGCCCGATCTGCAGTGTCGTTTGTGTGTTGGGATGGTGTGTGTTGTGATAAAATGACGCAGGTATGAATTTAATCACTTTGCTATGTGCTGCCACGCAGTTGAGTACATTTTTTTTTTTCCAAAGTAGTGCTTGTGCATTACATACCCCACAATATAACATATATAACATACAGTTGCATGTTATGTGTGTGTTTGGAGGGTGGTGTTTTTTTTTACTTTTTACATTTATAAAAAAACATTTATAGTATTATTATTTTTTGTTTACTTTAGTTATGCGGGGCTTTGGGGAAATATTGGGGGTCTAAACAGATGCCTGATATTTCCTCAATCTCTTTTTCTGCAGCCCCAGTGTTAAATGAACAGGAGCACTCAGTACAGAGGCTTCCCATTCATTCACAGACCGAGGAGGCATAATGGTCTATTCACTAAGCTGCTGTAGGCAGCCAAGTGAATGACCGACCTGAACGCAGCTTCGTGAATAGACCCCATAGTATTCTCCACAGATATGAATGGGCAGGAAGCCTCTGTAGGAAGCCTGTAATGAGCTGCTCCTGTCCATTCATAAACTGAGGAGATAGAAACTGTTTATTATGTCTCCGGTCGTGAATGAACAGGAAGTGATGTGTACAGGCCCGGATTCCACACAAGGCCACCGAGGCCGGGCCTCGGGGCGGCAGCGGGGGTCCGTGTGAGGAAGTTGTGGGCGCCGGGCGGTAAGTTGCCCTTTCTCCATTTAGTCCTGCTTTGCACAAGCAGGACTAAATGTGGAGTGAGGGAAGCCGATTGTTCGTTTACATGTGAACTCGGCGATGTCGCGCCGAGTCTCTCCTCCCTGCAGTGAGCAGAGCAGCAGGTTTAAAAGTAACCCTGCCGCTCTGTGTAGACAGTGAGAGGGGAGAGCTGTGCTAGAACTCCTGTATTGGAGGTGACAGGGTCAATAAAGAGAACCTGTCACCTCCAATTGCTATCACGCAGGGGATTGTTTTCTTTTGTGTGATAGCAATAAAGTTAGGTGGGGGAAAAAAATGTAATTGATTTAAAAAAAAATGTAATTGATTAAAAAAAATAATATGAAATAATTAAATAAAAAGGTGATTAAAAAATAATAAGAAACAAATTATTAAAAAATAAGAAAATAATTATAAAAAATAAACAATAATAAGATGAAAAATTATAAAAAAGTTAATAAGAAATAAAAATCTAAAAAAAATTCAATTGATAAAAAATAATTACATAAATAAAAATTAAAAACATAAGAAGAAATAATTAAATACAAAAATTAAAAGTTATAAAAGTTTAAAAAAATTAAAGAAACAGTAAAAAAAAATTGAAACTAACCCCGCCGCCCTGAGGGTTGCCATTCATTGATGGGAAGGGTGGGGGGGGCGTATTGCGGAACCTGGCCTTGGGGTGGCAGGGAGAGTAAATCCAGCCCTGGATGTGTAGCTATGTTTTTATGATGGATGCATTGGGTAATTTGGGTAAAGATATGAGGGAGATTAAAAAAGTTAAGGCAAAATACATTTAATGGCTTTAATAGGAGAGAACTCTTGAATATATCCCTTTTCCACTTTTCGGCTGCTGCTGGTGCCAGGCGTCCACCGCTTCCTTTACTTCTACTTGCGACCTCGGAGTGCCTCCTTCCTTTTGCTCTCCGGGTCATAGTGGTACACCCATGTCTCATCTCCGGTGACAATTCTCTCCAGAATACTCCGATCTCCTTCATACCATCTCAAGAACTGAGTCACAACCTCCACACTCTTTTGACTGTGCAGAGCAGTAAGCTGTTTGGGAACCCATCATGTGCAGACTTTTCTGTATCCCAAGTCATTGTGCACTATGGCAAATCCGAATTTCCGCTGGTTTCACTCCCTCTGCCCAAAGAAAACGCACTAGGGCACATTGTTCTTCGATAGTGCAATCTCGAAATGGAGCGTCCATGATTCTGTCCTTATGACAACCTCCACAGGGTTCTGTGGAGGTGTGCCTCAGGGTTCTGTGCTGGGCCCCATGCTATTCAACCTATTTATTAACGATATCGGGGAGGGAGTGAATAGCCATGTTTCAGTGTTTGCTGATGATACCAAAATTGGGAGGGTAATAGACACGGACTTGGACATTATAACATTACAGGGGGATCTGGATAAAATAGGGGGATTGGCAACTATATGGCAGATGAGGTTCAATGTCGATAAATGCAAAGTAATGCACTTTGGGGTTAAAAATAGGCAAATGGACTATACAGTTATGGGTATGCCACTAGGGAAGTCAGAAATGGAAAAAGATTTGGGGGTCATTGTAGACCACAAACTGAATGGTAGCTTGCAGTGCCAGGATGCTGTAAACAAAGCTAGCAGAGTCCTGTCCTGCATTAAGAGGTGGATGTTTTGCAGGGACAAGTCTATAATTGTGCCACTTTACACATCACTGGTTCGGCCTCATCTGGAGTATGCGGTCCAGTTTTGGTCACCGATACTCAGAAAGGATGTCCTTGAGCTGGAAGCAGTCCAGAGGAGGGCAACCAAACTCATTAAGGGGATGGAGGACCAGAGCTATGAGACAAGGCAACTAAATTTAAATATGTTCTCCTTGGAAGTGAGGAGATTAAGGGGGGACATGATTTTCATGTACAAGATGTTCAATGGTGATAGCAACATTAGCAACAAACTCTTTACGATTAACTCCATAACAAAGACTAGAGGACACAACCTAAAATTGGTGGAGAAAAAATTTCAGCGCAAGGGGCGAAGGGGGTTCTTCTCAGTTAGAGCGGTTAGGGTCTGGAACTCGCTGCCACATACAGTGATTTCAGCCAAGAGTGTGGAATCGTTCAAGAAGCTTTTGGACGATTTCCCTAGGGAACGTAATATACAGGGGTACAGGTACTCTTAAGAATGAGATCACACAAGGACCTATACATACGCACACATCAGCAGAACCATATACATACACGCAATAGGTTGGACTCAATGGACTTGTGTCTTTATTCAACCTCAAATACTATGTAACTATGACTACCACTCATCTAGCCCGAGCGCTGTACTACACATGGTTGAACTATCCAACAGGCTATGTGAATATGCTGCATTGCGGAAGCTTCTCTCTGTTCCGGTTACCGCGTAATGTATACATTTTAGGGTTGCACAGATACTTTTCGAGTACCGGTGCCGATACTTGGCATTTTCAGGAGAACTACCAGGGTTGCAGCGGTTGCAGCTGGGACCTGGCTCTGGTGCTCCCCCACTGTCCTGAAATCATTAGTCTGTATTGTTTTAGAAAAAACTGTCACATGACAATAAACAAAAATGTATCAGTACTCGTACTTGTAAGTACTCGGCAAGTACCAGTACTCGTACTCGCAAAACTGGTATCTGTGCATCCCTTTATTTATATTTATAAAAACAAAATCGTACATTAAAACAGAGATGTACAAATCCCAGGAGCTCCGTGTGCTCCTTACAAATGACAGCAGCCACCTAATTTTTGAATTTTTCTCTAGTGTAGTCTTGGAGCTCAAAAGTATCGGTACATGTACTCGTACTTGTACAGAGTACTGTACTTGGTATCTGTGCAACCCTAATACATTTCCTTTACTTTTTCTTTCTCCCTCTTATATAGACTGTTAAAATTAATATTAACTTAAGGGTTTGTTTATAAATCTTCTGCCCAATCATAATCATAATCATAATGCCATTTGCACTGCAATCTGGCCACTAGATGTAGCTAAGGAGCACTAGACTGCATCTAGTGGCAGGAATGGTGTGCGAATGGCATTTGCCCAGCATATGGTTGGCTGGACTATTTATAATAGACCCCATAGTTTAGTGAATGGGATGAAGCTGTGCTCACTTCAATCATCCAATCAAAAATCCTGTTCCTTTTCTTTGCGCATGATTTAAAGTGAACACAGCTTCTTAAAGGAGAACTATGAGGTGAGTGCTTTTCACTCACCTCATAGTTCTAGCCAACCTGTGACAATGAGACTGTCACAGGTCGGCTTAGTAGATCGGGAGGTGAGCGAACACATACCGGCGTTCGCTCACCTCTCGATCCTGTCACGGCTCTCCGCCATGACAGGGGAGGGGCTGGATTCCCCCCTCCCCGCTCCGATCTGCCAGCGCTGACTGGCGGAACGGACGGGGGAGGGGGCGGGTACAGCTGGCTCTGCCTCTAGATAGGCAGAGCCAGCTGTCAGTCACGCAGCTGGGCGGATCCTGGCACAATTGTCGGGATCCGCTTCAGCTGCGGCATCTCAGTATACCGCGAGCTACAGCTCGCGGTATACTGAGCCTAGGGTGACGGGAGGACACTAGTTTGTGTCCTCCCGTTACCCTAAGGATAACTTTGGGGAAAAGCCTTAACCCCATAGTTCTCCTTTAATTGCTAGGCCAGGTATACTTTCACCTTGCAAAGTGCATATTCACTTTTCTAAGTGAACGGTCTCAGTTTCTTCCGTAAACCAACCCCAATGTATCCATCAATATAAAGATAAATATACTGTATTACAGGCCATCAGTCTCACATCTGTATACACAGCCCATTACACCTTTTTATACAAGCTAAACTGCAGTGGGATGTCATTCATTTTGAATGGCATCCCAATGCACTATTACGGTAGTGGGCAATGCACCCACCCTGCAGCATACAACAATACAAAGCACAGTGCTGCATAAAAAAGAGGTAAGGTGTGTTCTTAACAATAACATGTTGCACAACGCACAATGCACAAGTCCCGTGGGACCTTAACCATTTCATGTTTTCAATGTTTCCTGGCAGAATCCTTCAAAAGGCTTATGTTACGCCTTAACAGAAGATCGGGCCAGTTTACACCTGATGGGGAAAGCTGAAATGTACCTTTTGGCTCTCCTTGCCATTTTCTTTCCCAGGGGTGGGGGGCTGGATGTTCAATTCCTTATAATTACTCGGAGACAGAATCAGCACTGAGCAGCCTGCTTAGTGCAGACACACATACGCATGAGTGATGTAAGTCATTTTGTCCATCCCCAGATACTCCAAGCAATGTGTCAGCAATGATTTCTGAAGGTTTAGGATCCACCTGAACCTCTGCAATGTCTGGACAGTTAGAGACATGTTGTCCTCTAGAGCTCTTAGTGAGTGTTCCCGCAACAGGAGGTCATCACAGTATCCCACAAAAGAAATATTCTTGCAACAGGGCTAATGGTGGAGCAAGCACATGAGGTGCAGAAGACAACTCCAGCAACTTATTGGTTGGGTACTGAAAGTCATCTTCCAAAGGTATGATAGTCACCTTGTTAAAGGAGAACTATGGGGTCAGTGTTTTTCCCCATAGTTCTCCTTAGGGTAACGGGAGGACACAAACTAGCGTCCTCCCATTACCCTAATGACGGGATCCGCCCAGCTGCGTGAGTGACAGCTGGCTCTGCCTATCTAGAGGCAGAGCCAGCTGTACCCGCCCCCTCCCCCGTCCGTTCCGCCAGTCAGCGCTGGCAGATCGGAGCGGGGAGAGGGGAATCCAGCCCCTCCCATGTCACGGCAGAGAGCCGTGGCAGGATCGAGAGGCGAGCGAACCCGGTATGTGTTCGCTCACCTCCCGATCTACTGAGCCGACCTGTGACAGTCTCATTGTCACAGGTCGGCTAGAACTATGAGGTGAGTGAAAAGCACTCATGTCATAGTTCTCCTTTAAAGTGACACTGAACTCAGGAGTTAAATCTTAAAAATACATTCAAGTACCGCAACTATTAACCAAAATGTATCACTCGGCTGTACATCCTCCAATCATCTCTGAATTGGTGCTGACACTGTCCTTCCTTCTGGAGGGTGGCTACTTTTGTTCCCCGTGGTCCCTGTGTGTGATGTAAGGTAGCCGCCACTCCAAGCTCATTCCCGTGATGGACTACAATCTCCATACAAATTAGTAAAGTAAGCATGAGATTGTAGTCTATCACAGAGGATACTAAAATTACAGGTTAGTCTTTAAAACAGCAGATCTAAAAAAGACATCTATCCTCCTAGGACTAAAGCAAAAAACTGAGCCATCCTGGTAGTAAGAGGAATTAAACCCTGGGCTTGCCTGCAGGCTAGAAGGTGCAGTCGGAATGTTTCACATAGGGTTGCCACCCGTACGGTTTTCACCCGGACAGTACGGGTTTCGGATCCTGTGTACGGGAGGGAGGCGGGCTCCCACCCGTACACAGGATTCAAACGGCAGACTTGCTCACCTGGCGGCAACACTTACTTTCCCTGATACATGGGCAATAAACATGAACTTAAAATGTATGAAAAAACACACATAAAAGCACATTAAATGCATCTAAAGTGAGAGATGCAAATCAAAAACCTGTATTACTGCACGTCCACAAGTGTGATGAGCCTGCAGTGACCCTTGACGAAGGATCCCACGACCCATTAGATTGTTTGTTTCTTTATATAATTTATTTTAAAAAATTGTATGGGGGTAAACATACAACGCAGCAAATGCAATTTGGTGGCATATAATGGCAACGAAACCTATTCTGTGAAAAATGCCAACAACCTTTTTGTATATTTTTGTAAATGTTGTTAACTGTTCTGTAAAAGCCAACTTTCATTTCAGGTACAGGAGTCCCCTAAAAGCCATTGCCTTCTTAATTTTTGATCATAGTTGGTCTTGACAGATTCTGATGTGGCTGCAACAGTTCACAGTTTCATACATGGAATTGCAGAATATACAAAATAGAAGAGCAGGATGAGTTCAAAGGTGTTGGGAGTTCAGCTCTACAGTATTTGGATTTTAGAAATGTAGTTTTTACATTGAAAGAATGAATTTCCCTGAATGACACTATGACTTCTCTTCCTTCTCCTTGTGTGTTATGACAGACAGGTCCTCTTTATCCTCGTTGTCGTCATCTGCATTTACATGGACCAAGATTGGGCGGGAAAGAACCTTCAGAGCTTCCAGGTAGCTTGGCGGAGGAGTCTGAGTGTTCTCCAGAGGCCGGGACAGAACCTTCAAAGCATGCATATAACTGGGTGGAGGGGTAATGGTGTTGTTTAGGCGGAAGCCATGAGGAGCCAGCAAAGCATTGACTTCTGTTATGCAAACAACAACAACAAAAATAAGCTCTGGTTACTAATCTGTCAAAACCCCAAGATGTCTGTTTTCTTATCCGTAATACTGCATGGTACTTACCATTTGGGTCTTGCAGGATTCCGGGAGAAGATGGGGGGCTGTGTGCTTCCTGCACAGTAACATTAATGGGCTCCCTTTGATAAATATTCCTGCGTGAATGAAAACCCCGTCGAGTTTGTGGCTTCTTGCAGAACAGGATTGTTATGTACTTGTGTACACACTGCACACAGCACTTTGTGGACTTGACCACACGAACCCAACAGAACACGAGGATCATTACAGCAGCGAGGCATATGGTGAGCCAAACAAGCCAAGACTCCTCCATTCTGAAAGACAGAGATAACGTGAGACATCAGATCCATACTTATGTGATTAACCCAAACCTAAGATCACATGACTACACTTTGAAACACTTGCAGGAAGAGGGTGACAATTACATTCCTGTACCTATTGATGGATGATTTTACAAAATTTAAAGTGTATTTCCACTTTTGCAGACAAATTTGGGAAAACCAAACTATAGGCATACCTAAAAAATAATTTTAAAAATATATTTCTTACCTTTCTATCTGATTCTTTGGAGCAGGTCTATGGGCAGGCTGCAAGCTACTCTGAACAATTTCAAAATCAGAATATACTCTCATATACTCTTATAATATATATATACTGTATATACACAAACACACACTATATTGCAAAAGTATTGGGCCCCGCCCCCTCCAAATCATTGGATTCAGGTGTTCCAATCCCCTCCATGGCCACAGGTGTATAAAATCAAGCACCTCGGCATGCAGACACTTCTACAAACATTTGTAAAAGAATGGGTCGCTCTCAGGAACCCAGTGACTACAAGCGTGGTACGGTGATAGGTTGCCACCTGTGCAAGTCCATCTGTGAAATTTCCTTGCTACTAAATATTAGTTAGGAATAGACATGACACTAACCACTGTTAGTGGTATTATAACAAAGTGGAAGCAACTGGGAACAACAGCAACTCAGCCAGGAAGTGGTCGACCACGTAACATGACAGAGCGGGGTCAGCGCATGCTGAAGCGCACCGTACACAGAAGTCGCTGACTGTCTGCAGAGTCAATAGCTACAGACCTCCAAACTTCATGTGGCCTTCAGATTGGCACAACAACAGTGCGTAGAGAGCTTCATGGAATGGGTTTCCATGGCCGAGCAGCTGCATCCAAGCCTTACATCACCAAGTGCAATGCAAAGTGTCGGATGCCGTGGCGTAAAGCACGCCGCCACTGGACTCTAGAGAAGTGGAGACGTGTTCTCTGGAGTGACGAATCACGCTTCTTTGTCTGGCAATCCGAACAACGTTTCTGGGTTTGGCGGTTGCCAGGGGAACGGTACTTGCCTGACTGCATTGTGCCAAGTGAAAAGTTTGGTGGAGGGGGGATTATAGTGTGGGGTTGTTTTTCAGGGGTTGGGCTTGGCCCCTTAGTTCCAGTGAAGGGAACTCTTAAGGCATCAGCATACCAAGACATTTTGGACAATTTCATGCTCCCAACTTTGTGGGAACAGTTTGGGGATGGCCCCTTCCTGTTCCAACATGACTGCGCACCAGTGCACAAAGCAAGGTCCATAAAGACATGGATGAGCGAGTTTGGGGTGGAGGAACTTGACTGGCCTGCACAGAGTCCTGACCTCAACCCCATAGAGCACCTTTGGGATGAATTAGAGCGGAGACTGCGAGCCCGGCCTTCTCCTCCAGCATCAGTACGTGACCTCACAAATGGTCCAACATTCCCATAGACACACTCCTAAACCTTGTGGACGCCTTCCCAGAAGAGTTGAAGCTGTTATAGCTGCAAAGGGCGGAGCCAACTCAATATTGAACCCTACGGACTAAGACTGGGATGCCATTAAAGTTCATGTGCGTGTAAAGGCCGGCGTCCCAATACTTTTGGCAATATAGTGTATATATAGTATAAGTGACAGAGTGGGTTTCCTCTCATTATTATACAATGAAGAAGTCAAGCTTCTAGATCTTGAACCCTTTGTTAAGACATTATTAAAATCTAGTTTACAACTGACAAGGAGATCTGCCAGCACAGTACAGACAGGGTTATGTATAGTCAAAATTAACTCCCTAGCCACCTCCTTGAAATTACAGAGAAATGAAAAACTTCAGTTTTCAGAAAAGAGCAAGTAAAATGATAAGCAACAATGTATGCTGCATTAATGGGAACATGTCACAAATATAAACTAAAAGTTTGGCTGCAAATGTGGAAATTAGACACAAGTGTTTAAAATGTAGCTGAAATTATTGGTTTACTTTGGCCTGCCCCCAGCACTCCATGCAAGTCTTATATTCACGTGTCGCCATTCCAATGAGTTCTTCACTATGTGAACCCCTAAAATTTTCTTCATCGGTACTAGGGATGCACTGATACCGACACTAGTATTGGTATCGGTGCCGATACCGAGTATTTGGGCAAGTACTCGTACGCGCCCTGCTCCTATACTTACCTCCGGTACCTGAACTTCCAGTCAGAGGGAGATATTTCTCTGACCGGCAGTGTCTGAGGGAGCTTGGAGCCGGCTTCCTTTCCAATCAGGAAGCTGGGTGGCACGTAATGACCCACCTCTCGGCTTCCTGATTGGTCAGGAAGCCAGGCAGCCTCTGAAGCCGGTGTTCTTTCACTAGAACACCGGCTTCACATTAATCAGGAAGCCAGGCGACGGATCATGATCTACCGCCTGACATCCTGATAATCGGGGTACAATGCACCTGTACTCAGTGCTCGGTATCAGCAAGTACCGGGGGAAAAAAATATCGGTACTCGATACCAAAAAAACAGTATTGGTGCATCCCTATCAGGTACCATGTATGTACCCATTAGTTGGAGTAAGAACTCTTAGGTTTGCACGGAGATTGCAATATCAATGCTTTTTCGGGGGCGTATATGATAGAGAAAAGTTTAAAAAAGAACCAAAAGCCAAACCATTTTTTTTGGCTTTAGTTCTCTTTTGGGTCACAGGAGTAAATTTACTAATGTACTTCTGTGACCCAAAGTCAGAATCTATTTGCTGACCGCACAGAGCCGCACTGTAGCTGGGAAAGATCCCAACAATATTGTTGGGATCCACCCCGCTGCCTGATTGACAGTTGGCTCTGCCTCTCTAGAGCCAAAGCCAGTTGTGTCCACCCCCTCCCCTGTCTGTCCCTCCAATGACCACTGGAGGAACAGAGAGGGGATGGGGGAATCCCTGCGGGGAACCATGACTGACAGACACTTCACTCTGCAGGGAGAAGACCATAAGCTGAGCGATCAGCGCTTTGTGATCACTCAACGCTCGATCTATAGAGCCGACATTTGACACCTGCAGGGCCCAGGTTGGAACCATGCCCATAGGCAATCATTGGTTTTCACATGTTGAGCGTTTTACAGAGCGTAGGAACGAGCTGCAAAACGCCCAGGTGTGAACCCGGCCTGAGGAGAACTTTGGGGAAAAGCACTGACCCCATAGTTCTCTTTTAAGTCACCTCTTGCCAGAGCAATATTACAAATAAAATAATCTGAATAACACCACCCTATTATATAAGGCTCTCCATATTTACCGAGCACGAGAAATGTGTTGAACAAACTCATACTGGCGGTACAATGAATTTATACATCATGATGCAAAGTGATGGAGACAATGAAGGCTCACCTGGGACGGTTACACTGCAGGTATGTGGTCAGGCCAGATGCACACATATCAACAACTTGATGGCCACACTCCCAGAGAGAAGTCATGTTCTCTGGACATTGTAAGATCACAGGAGAAATGGGCGACATTCCCTTGTTAAGCAGCGAGAAGAGGGGCCGTTGTGGAGTACACCCCATCTGTAGAGAGAGAAGACGGAAAATTATGGATCCTAATGCTGATCATGTCTATTCCTTATATACATTTGCCAAAGCTGTTTGCTATGAAGCTGCACATGTATAAGCCAGGAAAGGAAGAGAGTCCCTGGGGGAAGTCAGCTATATTGTGTGGCCCAAAACCAAAACCTGGAGCCATATAGGAATTGGAACTCTGGCAGCAAGATCTCACCACCAGTGCTGGGACAAATTTAAGATGACAAAGCCATCTAATAGCGGAGTCCTAAAGATTACATCAGGAAAGCAGAATGCACTAAGGGCAGAAGCGTAACTAGGAACCTCAGGGCCCCGATGCAAGAAACAATGAAGGGACCCCCCACTCCACCCCCCATAAAAAAATGTTGGTGCCTTGGCAGTTATCGGGGTAGTGCAGGTGTGTAGTTCCTGGAGGCAGGGCCACCAGTTGAAATCATGGGACCTCGTACAGGTTGGGCTGTGCGGATTAATTATTATTAATAACTGCAGACATAGGCGGATCCCTACGCCAGATATTCCCCTCAGACTGTTTTGATTTTTGTTTTTGCTGATAGGGGATAAATTGGCAAGAATAGGGTGATAGATATGTTCTGTTTTACAGAACTATTATATATTGTGTGCATGGCTTCTAGTGATCCCCTCCTACTACTTGACTATGCTAATGTGGAAGAATCTGAAATGCAATTGTATGCTATACTGACTGTGCATCATGTGCTATTTTATTGTTTTATTCTACTTTGGAAAATTAATAAAATACTTTGAAAGATAATTATTATTAATAATTTGTATTTATTTATTTTTTAAATGTACTTTTTATCACGTTTTTATTTTATTATTTTTTACTTTATCAGTTTTTTTTATTATTATTTATTTTACTAAGTTTTTTTTAATTATTTTTTACTTTTTATCAATTTAAATTTTTTACAATTTTTTATTTATTTTATTATTTTTTTACTTTTTTTTCACTTAACTTTATTGCTATTACACAGGGGATAACAAGCCCCTGTGTGATAGCATTCTGAGGTGACAGGGTCTCTTAATGAGCCTGCCCTCCAATACAGAAGATAGAGCACACGTGTGCTCTATCTTCTGTACAGCTCAGGTTGTGACAGCTGACACAGGAGCGCTGCGAATACAGCGGTCCTGTGTCACTGATCATGGAGCATCCTGAACTGCCTTACCGTGGGCTGGGGTCCCCCAGAAGAGCATGGGACCCTGGAAACCACAACACAGAAGAAGGTGGCCAGCGGGGGAGCAGAACATGGAGGGGGGCCGCACAACTCACAAGCTGGCTGCATACAAGTGATTTCAGCGGCTTTGTAGCCGCTGAAACCACGGGTACAAAACGGCTCCTCTGATTTACATTAAGGCCAGAAGCAGCGCTAAATGTAGGGAAAAGAATCACGGCACTGAGCACCATCAGACCGGGCCCCCCTCAGGTGGCGGAACGCCAGGGCCCAGTCGCACATGCGACCGCTGCAAGCCTGGTAGTTCTGCCAGTGACTAAGGTTTAGCCTGAACCTACACGTCACTAAACATAAGCAGCTATTCTGTGTTCTAGAATATCTAATACTGAAATTTTGATCAAGTTAACCCAATCAAATTTAGATTTGATATGTGGTTAAAGGAGAACTATGAGGTGAGTGCTTTTCACTCACCTCATAGTTCTAGCCGACCTGTGACAATGAGACTGTCACAGGTCGGCTCAGTAGATCGGGAGGTGAGCGAACACATACCGGCGTTCGCTCACCTCTCGATCCTGTCACGGCAGAGAGCCGTGACAGGGGAGGTGCTGGATTCCCCCCTCCCCGCTCCGATCCTCCAGCACTGACTGGCAGAACGGACGGGGGAGGGGGCGGGTACAGCTGGCTCTGCCTCTAGATAGGCAGAGCCAGCTGTCACTCACGCAGCTGGGCGGATCCAGACATAATTGTCGGGATCCGCTTCAGCTGTGGCGTCTCAGTATGCCGCAAGCTGTAGCTCGCATATACTGAGCTTAGGGTGACGGGAGGACGCTAGTTTGTGTCCTCCCGTTACCCTAAGGACAACTATGGGGGAAATCCTTAACCCCATAGTTCTCCTTTAATCAGGTTTTGTAATATGCACATAAATATGGAAGAGGTGCAAAATCTAGTTGTGTGGCGGCTGCATTGTTATGTGCAGTATATGGCCATTGTGAGACTGCGCTTTTCTATTCTACATATTGATACAAATGATCAATGGATCTGCCAGTCTACGTATTACAGGCTTGTCCAGAAGCACGGATAGATATTACGGTACGGCGTAACCACAGATCATAGTGCTCATAGCAACATTTTAACAGGGCCCTCAGTGACTTCTCTGTGTGGCACCTGGCAGTGTCAACTGTGACAATGCTGTCAATGCTGTCATTCATGTGGATGTTACTTTGACATGTACCACCTACAGAAACATTGTTCCTGACCAAGTACACCCCTTCATGGAAATGGAATTCTCTGATGACAGTGGCTTCTTTAAGCAGGATAATGCCCCCTGCCACACTGCAAAAATGATGCAAGAATGGTTTGAGGAACACAACAATGAGTTTGAGGTGTTGACTCGGCTTCCAAATGCTCCGGATGTCAATCCAATCGATCATTTGTGGGATGTGCTGAAAAAACAAGTCGGATCCATGGAGGCCTCACCTCACATCTTACAGGACTTAAGGGATCTGCTACTGACGGCTTGGTGCCAGATACCAGAGCATACCTTCATAGGTCTAGTGGAGTCCATGCTCAGTTCAGAGCTGTTTGGTGGCAAAAGGGGGACTACTCAATATTAAGTAGGTGGTCATAATGTTATAGCTGGTCAGTGTGGTACAGTAGTAGGGATCAGTGCTGTGGCTAGAAGTTGTCAGGAAAGAGAGGAGCAGCATTTCAGGCCTCAGCATCTGCCTGTAAATTCTAAACATCACATTATTTTGTATAATACTGTGTAACCCTAATACACTCTAGGTGAGGGTGAGTCATCCTCCTTCCGGGCAAATTTTGCAAGAAAATGATCCTGCGCTATGCTGCAGTATATTTCAGAGAGATTTGGGCATCTCAGCATTCCCAGGAATCTTGTCGGCAGGAGGTTCATGTCAACACCTGCACCGCAGAAGTTGGGAAAAGGGAAAAGAGTATATGAACAGCGGCGTCCCTAGCTTTTTTTACCACCGGAGACAGGGGGAGGCGGGGGCAGACATGAGAACGAATCTACCCTCTGCAGGCTCTGCATCTTCAAGCCTGGCTCTTAGCAACCTCGGAGACTCTGGCCAGCGTCCTACCCAGCTCATGGCAACTAGTGAAGTCATTGGTTGACAAGAGCTAGGCAGGATGCCGTCCACAGCATCCCAGGTTGCTAAAAGCTGGGCAGGCAGATGTATATGACTATTACACATTTCCCTGCCTGGTTCTTAGCAACCTAAGATGCTCTGGCCAGAAAGGGGGCAGCAGCACCATTGCAAACATCATGTAGCAGAGCAGCCACTGGAAAACAAACATGCCGCTCTGCCTGCCGCCGCCCCCATGCGACCAAAAGAGATGTTGCCTGAGGCAACAGCCTCAGGCTGCCTCATTCAAGTGACAGCCCTGTATATGATTAAATTATTTTCCCACCCACAGGTTTTTTTTGTTGAAGAGGCAGGTGGGCCACACTGAATAAGAGGACCTTACCTGTGGTGCAGCGTCTGCTTTTACTTGCATGCAGTAAAGCACCACAATGCAATGGACACATGTGATGGCAGCCTGTGTGTGCCCTGGTACTGATCACCTCCCTTTGTATCACTAAGAAGACTGCACGGCATTGAATCAGGAGAAAAGATTGGAGTCCTTTGAAAGCATTTGCTAAAAGCCTGATGATATATATATAGGAAGGCAAAACTGAGTTGACTATATAATATTTAGCACAGATGGCACGTCTGCTGGGTGGCAGAATTCATTGGCTCATTTTATTTTTGTGCTGCTTAGAGTTGCCATTTAAAACCCCGCTGAAATAAAGAAGAGTTTGCTCTGTTGGATAACACTTACTTGTTCACAGAAGAAAGAGGCGTCCATTCCCTTGATGCTGGTAAAACAGACAGGACTCCATCTGCCCTCTGCAAATACCTCCATGTGCCCATCACAGGAAGAGCGGCCACGGGAGAGTCTCCATGAGCTGTTATCTATAGGTATTAGATCAGAAAAAAATAAACATCCTTGGCACCTTAGCAGCAGAAATGTTTCCATACTGTATATGGGCAAAATAATATACCACAGAGACTTTAATGGGGAACTTCGCTCCTCCACCCCCATTTTATGTTTTAATGTTTTGTGCAGCATTGTTCTCAATTACCATACTCAATTGTCCAGCGTTGCCCTGCCCAGCGTTGCCCTACTGTGATCCACACTGTTCAGGTGACACAAGCCAAGACCTAGGTCGCCATTTTGGTGCTCCTTAGTCATCCGGCACTGGCTACCTCTTCCTGGTTCAGACAGCTGACCCCCTGATGACGTGTGCAACTCCTCGCACCGGCCTCTCTGTGTCCCTACTCCTGCAGTATCCAAGGATATATGTCGGGGACATTACAGGAGGCTGTGTGAGCAGGGTGCGTTATTATCGCCTAGGCAAGAATACGGTGGAGTGTGATGTAAAAAGCTTGTTCATGTGCTTCCCCCACCACTTCTGTGCTGTCAGGGGAAATGCATTAGGGGATATGTAGTTTCATCCCAGGCACTGATATAAAGAAGTCCTGGCTGCATCCAGCAACTACTGAGCATGCATGCCACACAGCCAGGGCTGTCCCTATAATGAGTCAGCTTGAGGCTGTTGTCTCAGGTGGCATCTCTTTGGGTCATCTTTTCTGGCCAAAGCATCCAAGGTTGCTAAGAGCCAGGTGGGGAGATGTGTAAGGGTCATACACAAGCTCTTAGCAACCTGGGACACTCTGACCAGTGTCCCTGCCCAGCTCCTGGCAACCGGTGATGTTATTGATTCCAATGAGCTGAGCGGGATGCTCTGGCCAACGTCCAGTCCAGCTCTTGGCAACCGTTGAGGTCAGTGAGCTGGGTGGTATGCTGGCCAGAGCAGGGTGGCGCACCACCAGGACCCCATCAAAACCATATCTTGTCCACCCCATCCCCTGGAACGTGACCACACACCTCCCCACCCCTGCCACAGGCGGCAGTTGTACTAGGGACACCCCTGCAAACAGGCCCGTATATTCCTATGGTTGAGGCTGTATATCTCTGGTTGTCTGGAGGCAACAATGACTATGAACCAGCCATAGCAAAGCAAATGTGCAGTAGGAAACTGGGGAGTGGGCCTGAAAGTATGTCAATCAATATCTGACACTCAGGGGAGTAGAGGGAACATTTAAAGAACATCTTCACTAAATACCATTTCACCTATAACAGTGAACCCAAAACCAAAACACCGGCTGAAAGTGTGAGAGAAGATGGTTGGCCCCACTGTCTCAATCACAACCATTGTCCCGATTCATAGAGGAGTCGATGGGTTTCCTTTTTTAACTGGTGATCATATTGTTTACACGGAGCAGCAGTTAGATCCACTTTAAAGAAAGACTCTCTTAATAGGGTTCAAAAAAACAGTGTGGGGGGTCCACTTTAAAGGAGAACTCTACTTAATGGGTTTGAATGGAACACAATGTGGGCATCGTGGAAGAACTAAGGGGGTTATTCACTAAAGAGCCGAAGGATCCAGCTGTAGCTTCGGCTGATCGTTCGGCTCTCTTCGGCTGCCTCTGCCCTTTGGTTCAGTCGAACCGAAGGGCTGCTGTACGGGCTATTCACAATAGCCCGTACAGCAGCCGAGTGGCTCAGCCGAGCCGAAGGCATGTGCTTCAGGCAGCTTTGTGAATAACCTCCATAGTCTTGGTGATGTAGATAGAAGGTGTGAAGAGTGTCCCTGCTCATTACCTCTTGGCTCTGTGGAGTTTCGGATGCATGATATGGCTGCAATGCTCTCCGCGGCACAGAGCTGCACTGACTTCCCCGAGCTCTCGCACTCGCTCACACCGGACTCGTTTCCTGCATTGGACGGCCATGAGAAAATCAAAGTTAAACAAAAACTCAAAAACTTATATAAGATTTCACAAGGTTATCAGTGGGGGTCAATATTTTGTATAGCATTGCTGCTTCTTCTTGCAGGTCTATAGATTGCCGTCTCATTGAGAAGAACACAATTACTGGGCTGCCGATATTTTATTTTGATGTCTGTTGAAATTTTGGATAGTGTGTAAGTTTTAGAACCCCTCTCTGGTTTTTATTGCTGTCTGGGGGCTCTCTGGAGAGATTCAACCCCACTACTGGTCCTGGTTACCATTCTCTCCAGTACAAAAAGTGATGGGGAATTCAACATTCTTCAGTTGTCACAAAAACAGGATATGAGAAAGAATCTTCCCATAGGGAAACCTGTTCAGGTGACAACTATCTATATCCCCTTACAATGGAGAAATCGCATCTGACTTGCTCCTGTGTCTCTGAGACATAAAGGGAAATCTCCATGACACAAACAGCAAATAAATAAATAACTGATGGTGTCTTAAACCTTTCCTACTCTATCCCCCCCAAAAAAAGATTTGGGCATTGCCAGGTCCGGCACGCCATCTAGTGGTAAATCTACAAAACTATCTCCAAGATACAATAATCATTTTAAGCAAAAAGAAAGGATTTCAAAATGTAAAACAACTGTTTAAGAAGAACTCCAGGTATGCAAAAAGTTAACCCTTGCAGTGGGGCTACCTCCTCCATACCCCCCCCCCCCCCCCCCCCCCTCACAGGGGTATCTT